GAATTTTCTTTGTAATACAAGAATTTTCTTTGTAATACAAGAATTTTCTTTGTAATACAAGAATTTTCTTTGTAATACAAGAATTTTCTTTGTAACACAAAAATTTTCTTTGTAAGAACTTAAGAGTGTATTGCACACTTCACTACATAGGAGACCTTTCCAGGCGCGAGTCTCCGATTTTCGCCGAAACTCTGAAGGTTTTCCAAGTGTAGATGTCGGTCCTCACTTGTAGGGATGTGCACTTAATGCGATCGCATTTTCGCTTAATTTTCCAAAAACACTTCAAAATGGAAAATTATTGAATGAATGAGAGTCTATTTGACCGTCTGAGTTCATTTCCGGTGCGCATAATTTTGCATAATTTGGTATGGATCGCATCCCTGAAATGCAGTAACTAGTAGAAACATGTTTGCCAATGTTTTTGTAGATTACGAAAATATCGACCTTTGACAACACGGAGGAATTTTCGGCACATCTCTAGCACCAATTTGAAATGTAGACCACCATTTCCGCGTTTTTCTGGAATTGCCCTATAATAGTTGTAGTACTCACTTTAAAAACTCATTTGAGTTATGGTATTGCCAAATCCACCAAAAAACTTTGCGCATAGTAGTTTTAAAAGGTGCATAAACTTTTAAGATAAAAAATGTCCATGCGCGAAGATTTTGATGGTTATTCCATAGCTGAAATGAGTCTTTAAAGTGAGAACTACAATTATTTTAAACAACTTTTTTGATTTAGCCCCTTGAGTTTTTAGGGTTTTCAGTATGGAACGCTGCAGCCCCGGCCCGGCGGGGCTCTCATTAACGACTGGGCTCGAGAGGGTCGATCTTTCTTAGGATCTCTATCAACAATTCTGTCTGGGTAGGGGGTAGTTTTCCGTAGGAGGTGAAACGCTTCGGGACCAGCAAGAAGGGGTCGAGAATAGAGCGTACACGAAAAAGGGCGTGATTTGATTCCCCGACCTCTTTCTACCCGAAATTGTATCAGTTTCCGGGGTGATGATACCGTAGGATAGAGCACAAAATTTAACACAGTTTCAAACTGTTATTTGGAATAGCGGTTTATAGGAAGTACACTAGGTCACTGCACGGCAGACATAATGTCTAACTTTTGAGGGAAAAGGGAAAACTTTAAGGAAATTCGAAATTCCTTGGCTCGAGAAAAGCTTCTGGGATTTCGAGGAAGTCTCCTATAAAGATGTGTGATTTTTTCTCAATTTTTGAGGAGGTTCTTCTAAATCTGAGGCGAGATTCGAGGAATTTTCCTCAGATATGTGAGGTCCTCAAATTTTAGCCTTTTTCCTTCACAAATTGAGACATTGTTTTTACCGCGTGTCAAATACCAAATGGTATTAATTGCCAATAAAGTTCTTTGGCTGTACAGGTTCTAAACTTACAAGATCCAAATTTGCATCTCCAGAGTTCTTCTTTCACTCGTGAGTAGTATTCACACTTTTCTTTTCTCTTTCAGGTTCCGTTCGCCTCCTGGAAACACTGGACGAATCAATGTGTACTTGTGAATAACGTGAATTTTCTTATTTTTTGGGTGTCGGTTTGTTGATTTTCCTTTCTTGATTGAAATTGTTTTTCGTTGATAAACATATACAAGACATTTCATTAATTATTAAATTGGTTTACAAATTCTACGAAGTGGAGGTCTTATGCACCAGTCTGCACCCTTAATTTGTTGGTCGCCATTGTGGTTACCCAAGTTCTACAGGCTCTTATGGAAGAAATCGGTTTTCGATATTTCTTTTTGATGGAAAAAGTAGCCACAAGCTTGATTATTTTTTTTTTTTTTTTTTTGACATGTGCTAATTGTAGTCTCAAAAAAAGTTAAGAGTTTTGGATCACCTGAAGAATTGAGGAAGAATTGAGAGGTTTTGTTCGGTTTGTGAGCAAGTGAAAATTCCTTCAGATTTGTTTTTTGAAAAGATTACTATTAAGAATATGTTTTATTACATTCAGCCTCATTTATTTCTGATCAGTCAAATAAATTGTAATTCTAAAACAGATCTGTTAAGTGTGTCAATATAATCAAAACAAAAACTCTCAACGTACATAACAGACAATATTAAACCAATAATTAACAACTTTGGTTGACATTAAAAGCTTTAAAAACTAAAAATAATAAAAAAA